AATCACTGCAATTCTTAAATTAGTAACCCGGTTGTTAAATGAATCTGGCTTCCTCGTCGACTTTCCTCGTCAGAAGGTCACAAAAGGGGATCACACAACTTTAGGTCACTGCAACCGTCATAAATGTGAGTCAGTTGCCAACCATCCGAATCAGCAGTGAAATCCACTTACCTTTGCTACCGGTTCAGGTGCAGATGGTTAAAAAATGGGACGTAATGACGTCCCAGTGGGTGGATGGAGCCTCCCACCACCGGCGCTACCAGTTCGGCAAACCGGGGGGGGGATTTCACCGCTGATCCGAATGTAAATCACGTCACCACAGGGATGCTACAACGGTCGTAAGCGTGAAAAATGGTCATAAGTCACTTTTTTCCCAGTGCCGTTTTAATTTCGGTCACTAAACGAAATGTTGTAAAGTTGAGGACTACCTATATTGGCAAATCGGATTGGTTTGCTACAAAATATGGACCTCACTCAGTTTGTGCACAAACATTTTTTTTTTTAAAAAAAAGAGACATCATCATTCCAAAACATTCTGCACCAACAAGGGAGATTAATGGTAATGAAGACACAAAAATTTCATGCTATCTCGTTTTAGACCGTCACATGCATCACCCCGGGGATAATTCTGAAATAGCAGCAAACATCTCAGTTTGAAATGGTCGATGGAGGTTGATGAAGCTCTAAAGTCTGAAGGCTTTTCAACTTTGCAAATATAAGGGTTCTATGATTTCATAATTAAAAGCTTGTAATGCCGGCAGAGGCCTATGGTGTGAAGGTGGTTGATTTTCCTCTTTGCGAAGAGTTAAATTTCTGAGAAGGCTATAGAATTCAAGATCAGGACCTAGGCGTTGTTTATTGGAAAAGAAAACATGGTTATTTTTTTTTTTAAGCATGAAAAACCTTTTACAAAATAATGTGAGTTTCCCTGGTGCCATTCATCTTGTAGTCCATGAAAATCAGTGAGTTGAATATTAAATTGCTCCAAGGAGCAGGGCTGTTTTTTTCCAAGTGGGGTTTATGCCAAAGGCTGACTCAGACCCTACTTAAGATCTAATACACAGATCCTCAAATTTTGGAAAAATTCTCCGAAAAAGGAAGGGACTTGTGTGACCTCTCACACACAAACCAAACAAATTCCTTAAAATGTCAAGCTCAACTACCGTATTATGTATACCCGAGATAACATTTTAAAAGGCTTGGGCTCCCTTTACAGTTGGTCAAGATACATTGCACCCCCAACTCATGGCCTGAGACTGCTACCCTAGGACCAGTGTTGAGATTCAAATAATTTAACAACCGGTTCTCTGCCCTAATGACTGGCTGGGTGGGCATGGCCAGTGGGTGTGACAGGCAGCACTCGGCCCCCTGCACCCCCCTGGGAGCAAAAAACGGCCACCAGGGGGGGCACTGCACCCCCAGACCTTGTATTCTGGCCTAGTAGGCCTCCCTGCAGCCTCCTGGGAGCAAAAACGGGGTGCGTGGAGAGTCCTGGAAGGGGTGGGGCCAGCCAGCAATTTAACAACTGGTTTGTTTGAACCGGCTGAATCCCACCACTGCTTAGGACTCAGGGAAAACTGTTTGGAGTTCAGCACATAAACCTTCAGCTCAGTTGCTGTTCCAGGAGAAAGGCAGAAAGACAATTTTTGAGGTAAACTCTAGGAAAGGGGTGTCCAATCTTGGCAGATTTTAAGATCTGCCGACTTCAAACTTCCAGAATTCCGAAGAGTTGAAATCCACAAGTCTCAAAATGGCCAAGGTTGGACATCCTACTCTAGGATGAGTAGTTTTCCATTGTTAGGATTCCTGCCGTGTTGCACCTCCTCAGGTGTGAAGATACCGAGAGCCCAACCAACATTTCTTGATGGTTTCTCAATGCCGTGAGGGGCAGCTTTACTATTTCCTCAGAAAAGTCACTGCCCTCCTGTTCCTGCCCCCCCCCCAAATACCTCTCAAGACATGATGGCACAAAAATGTTGGTGAATTTAAAGCTCCTAGCTTTAAGAATCCAACCTTTGCAACTTTAAAGACGCTTGGACTTCAGCTCCCAGAATTCTGCAGCCAACATGGCTGACTGAGGAATTCTGGGAGTTGAAGTCCGTAAGTCTTAAAAGTTGCCAAGTTTGGAGAGCCTTGTTTTAGAAGACCCTTAAGGCTTTTCTAACCTCAGTGCCTCTGGACTTCCAACTCCCAGAATTCCCCAGCGGGCATAACCATTGCCAAGAATTCTGGAAATTAAACTTTACACCCTTGAAAAGTACCTACGACGGTTTAACTCTGCTCAACTCCAATGTTCTCACAGAGTTCCATGGGTGTAATTTTATTTAATTATACCGGGCAGAGCATTGTGGTTCCCAAGGAACAAACCCGACTTCATAAAGAACTGGCTAAGCTACAAAATGTGCAGAATATTATTACAAGTTCTGCTGCAGGAAAACTTGTAAACTTAGCAGAAATTCATTGAGAGACTTTTTCTGGCCAAGAACTAAACTTGGCGAGGGTGGACCTGAGTAAATCCCTAAATCCAGATTGGACATCCAGTAAAAGCTATCCGTCATGTTGTTTAAACCAGGGGTCTCCAACCTTGGCAACTTTAAGCTTGGCGGACTTCAACTCCCAGAACTCCCCAGCCAGCTGGCTGGCTGGGGAGTTCTGGGAGTTGAAGTCCGTCAAGCTTACCAAGGTTGGAGGCCCCTGGTTTAAACCAGTGTTTCTCCACCATTGAGAACTTTAATGCATGTGGACTTCAACTCCTAGAATCCCTCATGCTGGCTAGGGAATTCTGGGAGTTGAAGTCCACACACCTTAAAGGTTCTCAAGGTTGAGAAACAACTGGTTTAAAGGATGCAAATTGGGCCCTGCCCTACTACAGATACTAATGCTGCCTATGTGGTGGATTTATTTATTTCAGGGGGTCTCCAAATCTGGCAACTTTAAAGACTTGTGGACATGCTGGCTGAGGAATTCTGGCAGTTGAAGTCAACAAGTCTTAAAAGTTGCCGTGTTTGGAGAACCCCGATTTATTCCTTGGTCATAACTAATTTGCAATTATTCCGTCTTGCTTGATATCGATAAAATAGAACTATTATCTATCATAGGTCCGTGTCCAGCAACTGGCTGGGACTTCTGAATTGTGGGGACTAATCTTGTGAACGATCGAGCGGATTAAATAGTGCTAAATTGTAATATGGTTGGCTTGATTTGGGGTTCTGTCAACCTTTGTAAACCAGGTTTTTAAGCTTTGGTTTGTTAGCATGAGCTTAGCCAATGGTGGTTTGTACTACAAAGAATGGTTGAACAAGCCAAGGCATTCATGACTGACGAATCAAGTCATTGATGAAGCAATGGAGTGACCTCTTATGAAAGGATAGGAGCAGCACATCAAATCTGGATATGAAATGGACATGAAGGTAGCACCGGATGGAAGCATTTCATCACTTGAGTTGTATGGTCCATTTTTCTTTTAAAAAAAGAAGCAAGACAGGTGCAAATCTAGTTACTCCATCTTAAGTTACAGGTTTTGGTGAGCTACAGGTGTAAAATAAAATCAAACAATTTGGCCACCATGATAGGGATGGGGGACACGTGCATACCATCCCTATACTCCTGAGAACTTCCCAATTATGGGTGTGTGTGTGGGGGGGGGTACATGCCAACGACATCAGATGCATCATGTCATCATGCCAAAGAAGCATAGTATGTAATCAGTGTCATCATGATAGCTTCTACTGAATGCCTCCGATTCCAGTGGCATCTCTGTACTGATAACAGAAAATATTTGTAGCTCAGGGTTGAACTGCGAGGTCCTTGGTGCGCACTGAGCTTGACTGTTTTCTCACAGACGTTTCATTACCCAACTAGGTAACATCGTCCATGCTAAAAGGAGTGGGTTTGTTCTCTGTTTATATACAAATATGTAAACACTCTTGGTATAACATTAACAGAGCAAGCCACTGCATATAAATTGAGTAAACCCCATTCTTAACCAGCACTGATGACGTTAAGTAGTTGGGTAATGAAACGTCTGAGAAAGCAAGCAAGCTCAGAGAGCGCCAAGGACCCCACAGTGATTGTGTGTATTTGGCCAAATGTTGAACTTGCGTATCTTTAGCTTTCATAACATGATTCTTTGTGTCGACAGGCTTCACAGGGGGAAAAAAAAAAAGAGGAAAATACACCAACCAGGTTCACACGTTACAGTACGCCTTAATGTAATCTGTTATTGGCTTAGGTATTGCATACATTTAACCCCGGTGGTTTATATAAACCTTAGCTTACAACAGTGTCATGTATGGAGCATGTTGCTGTGGTTTAGCAAACCACCCGGGGGTTAAACAAACCATGGTTTAATGCAGTGTGCAAACCCAAACAAGGGAATCTGATGGGTTTTTTTTAAAGAAAGAAAAATGAGAGACTAACTGCTTTATAACATTGAGACTCTTCTTACGTAGGCATTATAAAAATAAAAGTATCCAGAATTAACACTCTTAAAATATATTCCATTCTTTTTTTTCTTTTTTTTTAGTAATTTTACTTCAGTGAAACTACACATTCTGAAACAGACTTGTTTTCTGCTCACAGACCTCATTAAAGGAGGGGTTGCCGCCAGTAGTGAGTGTCTACCGGTTCTAGCGAACTGGTAAGGGCGGCGACGGGTGGCTCCGCCCACTCGCCCGGACATCATCACGGACACTCTGCGCATAAGTGCCTGCGTGTGTGCAGACGTGACGCGCGCAAGCGAAGTGAGCGAGCTCACATTTGCGAACCGGTAGCAAAGGTAAGTGAAACCTACTACTGGTTGCCACCTTCTTCTTTTTTTCTCATTTTTTCTTGTTACACCCCTTCCTTTTCCCTGGCCATTTTAAAAGCTTTTCCTCCAGCTGGCTTTTGAGGCCTAAAGGTCCTTAAATGGGAATGGAGGAGGAATAAGGTTGAGGTTGAGGTGAAAGATTTCCAAGGGAGAATTCCCCCCCTCCTCCACTGATCATTTACTAGGAATATCTGTTTTATCATCATCTTCATCACTTTCTTTTTTATTACAGTCACAGCCCAGCATAAAGCTTTGAAGCAACAGGTGCCGCTTTTGAGATTATCACATACATTCTTGCCCCTTGAATTCATCTAAAGCAGGGCTCTCCAAATTTGCAACTTTAAAGACTTGTGGTGGACGTCAGCTCCCAGAATTCTGCAGCCAAGAATGGCTGGCTGAGGAATTCTGGGACTGGAAGCCCCACCAGTCTTAAAAGCCGACAAGCATGGAGACCCCTGATCTAGGTTTCCCAACCTTGGCCACTTTCAAGACGCGTGGACTTCATCTCCTCTGCTGGCTGGGGAATTCTGGGAGTTGAAGTCCACGTGTTTTAAGGCGGCCAAAGTTGGGAAGCCCTGATCGATAAAGCAACGTAGAGCGATGGCTCCGAGCGCATACAAAATATAGAAAATAGGAAATGACTTCCCTGCTGTAATAAATTAGGAAGAAATCCTTCGGATTGAACTTAGAAGAAGAAGAAGAAAATAAATCCCGTTGGCTGTGTGGACTGTCAATTCAGTCCGCCCAACTCTTGTGCTACGTTATGTCTTAAGTTTTGGATCGCTTTTACGGACAGTCCAAGCCAAAGAGGTTAGCAAAAACGAAGAACCACAGTGTTTAAAAACAACCAAGGATTTTGTTTTGTTCTTTTTGTTTTTTTAAAAAATCTATAAATAAAGAGAGAGATTGGGGAAAAAAATAATTAAAAAAAACACCTCGAGAAATTCTCCAATCCTTTGCAGGCGGATGCGTGTTCCGACTTTTATTGTTTTTTTAAGAGTCAAGTGGGAAAATGTAGGAAGAAGCTTCTGTGTCGTGCTGACTCCTGAGTTGTATAGTTCGCACAAGTGCTGGGTTGGGTTGGGTCTCACACCTCAGTCACACTTGGAAGACAGTATTTTGCTGTGCAAAAACATTCTCGAGTCCCTTATTGGTACCTTCGGCGGACGTTCAAAGGGAGAGGTCCTCCCACCCCACCTGCCTGGCAGAGAGACACTCTAGGCATATGCATCTCGCTCACCAACCTAACGGGATCCTGCTGAGCATAGAGGGGAAAAAAATGGGCAGATGTTTCCCCTGCGTTCAAAGCTGTGCAGAGAAGTACGAATTGATCTGCAAAACCTGGGAGAGAAGGCAGTTCTCATGGATTTGTAAGCGTACAACTCCTGGCCCACGATGCCAAAATGGGGGATCCCCTTCCCCGTAAAACTGAGAATTTCCAAATTCTTTCCTTTCGCCAATGTGGGAACTGCATCTGCGCCCCATTTTTTAAGCCGATAAGCACAAAGTGAACTCATTGCGTGTCAATAGTTGTGTGCACGAGGAATCCCTGACTCGGAGCCCGAAATTTTTTTTCAGTCTGTCCTTTAGCATCATCCACACAGCTGCTCCAAACTATGGTATTTGCCCCTCCCATGTGGGGTGGAGGAGGTGCTTCTTTTTGTTGTCGTTAAAGCACACACACACACACACACAAAAATTAAAAATTAAAACCATACCCCCAACCCTCCCCGCATTGTTGAAGTAGAATCAAAACAACCGATTAATAGTGTATATATGTACAAAATCTTTACAGAATTCCGTCTGGTAGCTTTAAAAAATATAAATATTGTTCAAGACACAGCAGAGAGCTCATCGATATTTTAATTAAGGCTTCATTATTGTAGATCCTTCATAATTTAATCTGGAGCTCGGAGAGGGCACTCCCGCAACGGGCACGGCTTGAACTCAGAACGGTTGGAAGCGAATGTCAAGGCATTCCTTCCTGGGTCATTTTGAGCCTCTAGAATGACGTCCTTTCTCATGTGCTCCAGGTAGTTTTGCTGTGATTGCAGATAGAAGAGAAAAAATAATGTAAATGTCTATGGAAATTCTCAGTCATCCAGATCATGGTTGTCCCAAAGGCGCTTTTTCAAAAGGCGGCTGGTCTTTGTTTTTCCTTGAAGATGTTTCGCTTCTCATCCAAGAAGCTTCTTGAGTCAGAACCGAAGAAGCTCCTTGGATGAGAAGCGAAACATCTTCAGAGAAAAACAAAATCCAGCTGCCTTTTGAAAACAGTGCCTTTGGCAGGGAAAAACAAAAAAGAACGTAAACTCTTCGTGGCTGTTTTGAGTTCCCTACGTGAATGAGAAAAGAGAAAAACGAATCCTCCTTCGATTTCAAAAGTGAAACTCTTGTCTCTGATTAAATAAACGTAAGGGGTTTGTTCGCTTTAACGTGAGCTTCATCTGGAGGAGGTCAGAGGAAAGATGGGGTAGATCTGTTCTCACAGCTGGCCCCCGGGATCGCTGGAGGTTCGGCGGCCATTTTGCTCTCGAGGAAGTATTCTGTGGGGAGGCTTTCCAAGAGGCACTTGAGTTGTTCCTGCCCGAGTTTGATCTTGTCATCCAGCTCCCGCTGTTCTATAAGCAGCCCCGATTTCATCTTCACAAAGTGTTGGTAATCCTGAAGCTGTTCCTCCGAGAAGTAGCTGCACAGGATGTCCAAGACTACACGTTCTCGACGGTCCAGGTTTTCCTTCAACTCACGAGCATCTTCATGCTGGCCTGCTAACATCTTCCGCTTTTCGTTCAGAGAAACCTGGGAGAGAAAAATGGGAGAAACAAAAAAGAGACCAAATGAAAGGTTCGGTACGGCAGCCCTGGCATGATGTGGGATCCTGTAGCGACCTAAGATGTCTAGAATGGAAGTGTTGTGGCCCGCCAGGGGAGCTGACAGCAGATTCGGACAGTGAGGAGGTTGGGGAGGAACATGGGCCAGTCCTAGAGTCTGAGGAAGGCTCTGATGAGGGCTCTGCATCTGAGGCAGAGAGGGGGCCAGGGCCGTATGTCAGTTATCAGCTGCCTTCGGAGTCAGACATCAGTGAAGCAGAGGAACAGCTGGAGCCTGTTCCCAGTGTGCGCATGTGCAGAGTTGCCAGACGAAGGGAACAGCTAAAGAACAAGGGTCGACTTGGGAGTAAGGCTACAGGTGGACGATAAATGTCCCCTCCCAAAGGGAATAAAAGAGGAGCAAAGGGGAGTGGAGTTTGCAGGAGACAATTAGTTCATTCCTGCATTCTTGCCCAGTATTGCAGAATATGAAAGATATCAACCTGGCCACTCTCCAAGCCTGATAAAGGTCGGTAATTGTGAACTATCTTGAAAGACCTTGGGAGAGGAAAGACTTTGCTGGAGAGGAATTCACTGTAAATTAAATAAAAGGGGTTTATCGGAACGAGGACTTGGCTTCGTGCTGCTGAGGAAGCCTAGGTCAGAACAGGAAGCCCTATGCAAGGGGATTTCAACAGGGTGGGCAAAGACAGACAGTACGACGCTATCTCCTCCGTGGGAATTGAAATCAGAAGCTGGCTTGGGTAGAAAGCTCCTTGAATGAGAGGGACCTGAACTGAACCAGGGCCTCTTTCGTCTCAATGGGGCTCCATGCAAGGACTTCTTGCATCCTTGGTGCTCCTTTGAGCTTGAAACTTTTCTCCTCGCAGACATTTCATTACCCAACTAGGTAACATCATCAGTGCTACCGTGTTTTCCCGAAAATAAGACCCTGTCTTATATATATATATATTTGCCACCAAAAAAGGCACCAGATCTTATTTTCGGGAGAAGTCATCCACTGACTAACCTCACTTGCTGTTGTGGTCCGCCAGCAGCCCACGGAGCTAGCAGCGGAGTTGGATAGTGAGGAGGCTGGGAAGGACCATGGGCCAATCCTGGAGTCAGGGGAAGGCCCGCACGAGGGCTCTGCGTCGGAGGCAGAGATGGGGCCAGGGCCATCTGGGAGCAATGCACGGACTCCGGAGACAGCAGAGAGGCAGAGGAACAGGAGGAGCCTGTTCCTAGTGCACGCATGTGCAGAGCTGCCAGAAGGCAAAAGCAGCTAAAGCAAAAAGGATGACTCAGGAGTAAGATCAGGAGATGAATGGCCCCTCCCATAAGGCTTAAAAGAGCAGCAAAGGCTCTTGGGCTCTTTGTAGGAAAGCAACATTGCTAAATCTGTTTTCCAGTCGGCGTCTCTTGTTTCTGAACTTTGTGGGGCTTTGCCAGGGTGCCAAAGAAGATAAAAGTTTGTGATAAGCCTGAAGGACTTTTTCTGAAGGACTTGTTTTGGAATTAATTTGGACTAAGCTGGGAATGAAGTAATTCTCAGATGTTATAATAAAATAGTTTTGTTTGAGACTAATTGTGTCCTGTAATGACTAAGTGAGCCTAGGTCACAACACTTGTGCGCGTGACCCCCGGCCTCCTTTTCGCTGTCAGAGGCCTTCAGGAACTTCTCCTTCTGCGGCCAGCAAGGCTTTCCTGAAGGCCTCTGCAGCCGATAACAGAGCTCCGGATCGATCAGCTGCAGAGGTCTTCAGGAAAGTCTTGCCGGGGTTGCCGGCTGCAGAAGAAATGGGCCAGCGAGGCAGGTGTTAGGGTGTGCGAGGCCTGGCTACAACTGTCCAAAGTAAGTAGTAGGGCAGCTCCACCTCCCCCATCCCCACCCTAGCTTAATTTTTACCTGTGCACTCTGGAGTGGGCAGGGTCTCAATTAGGGCTTATTTTGGGGGTACAGCTTATATTGGGTGCACGTGTAATAATCAAGCTAGGCGTTACTTTCAGGGTAGGTCATATTTTCGGGAAAACAGGGTAGAAGGGAGTGGGGTTTACAAGGACTCTGCCAGTTCAAGACTGGTTCTACACCTGCCTGATTTCTCAACATGACTCGTATTTATGACGATTGTAGCGTCCTGGAGTCACATGATTCCCTTTTGCGACCTTCTGTCAAGCCAAGTCGATGGGGAAGCCAGATTCACTTAACCCCCGTCTGACTAACTTAACAGGCGCAGTGATTCACTTAACAACGGTGGCAAGAAAGGCCGTAAAATGGGGGCAAAACTCATTTAACAACTATCTTGCTCTAGCCACAGAAATTTTGGGGCTCAGCAGTGCTCGTAAGTTGAGGACTCCCTGTGTTTGGGTTCGGAGGTGGGAAATCGCCATACCCATTCTTGTTTATCCGCATCTTCGCCGAGGCTGCTGAGAACGTTCTCCACTCGAGCCAGGCGCCCTGAGAGGGAAAGCAAGAGGCTGACCACCTTATCCAGGTCGCCAATGAACATTCGGTACTTGTCAAATTCATTGGGCTTGCACAGGCCGCTGATCAGGGCTTCCACTTCCTCCCCCAAGGTGTTGTTCAGCTTGATGTCTGCTAGGAGGCTCTCCTTGGCTTCCTTCAGAATCTCCAGTTTGTGGGTCAAGCTCTGAATGAGTTCGGCCTGGTAAATAAGAAGAAAACAGAAATCAGTCACCACCAGAGAGCAAATTAATAGGCTATGAGTTATCTCTCTCTCCATATATATGTTAGCTCTCCCTCTCTCTGTCCACGCCTGCCTGCCTGCATCTATCTATCATCTATCTATCTATCTATCTATCTATCTATCTATCTATCTATCATCTATCTTTTATCTATCATTATCTCTATCAACTGTCTCTCATAAATTATCTGTCTATCTATCTATCTATCTATCTATCTATCTATCTATCTATCTATCTATCTTTCTTTATCCATCCATCCATGTCTGTCTTTTGTCTGTCTTCTATTATCTATATCATCTATCTATATCTCTCTATCCATCCATCCATCCAAACTACGGAACAGTACTTAGCTGGTCAAAGAAATAAGATGAGATTGATCTAATAATAACTATTATGATTAAATTAATAATTTAATGGATGACAAATCATAACGACTGGGATGTTAAGTAAGGAATGGAGATAATAGTTCCTGGCGAGCATCTACGTAGAAGGGATACCACAAAATAACATACAGGTAATCCTCGGTTTACGATTGGTTGTTTAGAACCCAGGGCCGGATTTTCCTATAGGCTAACTAGGCTTCAGCCTAGGGCCTCAAGATCAAGAGGGGCCTACACAGTGGTGGGATTCTGGGGGCGGGGGGGGGGCGGGGGAGCCAGCAATTTAACAAAGGGTTCGGTGTTTTTTTTTGTAATTTTATTGGCCCACGGAGCTTTAGCATAGGCTAATTGGCCTCCCGGCTCTCAGCTGATTTGTCTCGGCTGTTTTGCTCAGGGCTCTTCTGCTTCCTTGCAAAGAAATGAAACTGAAACTGCTTTGCTGTTGCTGCAAGGTTGGAAAATTAGGCAGGCAGAATTCTTTTCTTTTTCCTCACCAAAAAAGGTACGTGCAAACAATGGGAAATTTAGGGAAAAAGAGGAGAGTTCAGGATTTTAAAACACAAAAGAAAAAAAGCTCTATTTAACTAGGGAATTGTAATAATTGAGATACTATTAATTGTATATTGTGTTGAAAGCAGAAATGGTTAAGTTGTGGTTTGGAGGAATATATGAGGGAAATTATTTGGTTTATTATTATTGGTAAATATAATTAATTGATTTGTAAGAAATTGGATTGCATGGAAATAATTGGAATATTCATGTTCATATTGATTAATATACAAAAAAGGTAGTTATATAACTAATTGATTTATATTAAAATGTTGAATTTATATTAAACAACTAATATTACATAATTAACCAATGTGAGGATGGATATAAAAATAGATGACAATGGGAAGGGGTATAATATAGAATAGAAGGGAAAAATTGAATTTGATTAAGATTAGAGATGAGGATGAAGGGTAATATTGGTTTTTTACAAAATAGATGAGGAATAAATATGGCAAAAAGGAAATATAGAAATTGTAAATTTAATTGAAATGACTAAACACTGTTTAAATTTGTGAACCGGCCAAATATTCTGTTCAAAGAAAATACATTGTATGTTTGTATGTGTGCTTCTAATTATTGTTATTTATTCATATTTGTTCTCTTTTATTCTTTAAAGTTTAACAATTCATTCTTTATCTTAATATCTTTATATTTGTTTGGGGTTGGCTTTCTTCCCTTTCACCTTTTTTATTGTACAGCAATCTTTCTCCTCAAACCTACCACCTCTCTCTTTTCTTTCCTTCTTACTTTCTCTTCCTCCCCCTCTTCTTCTCCTCCCTACTTCCTCTTCCTTTCTCCTTCTCCTCCTCTCTTCCTCCCTCTCTTACCCTCACTCCTACTCTAATTTCCCTTCCCTTCCTTCATCCCTCTCTATTGCTGTATCCTTTTATGCATATGGACTACTCAGAGGCTGAAAAAGTTATTTGTTTGGGGTTGGCTTTCTTCCCTTTCACCTTTTTTATTGTACAGCAATCTTTCTCCTCAAACCTACCACCTCTCTCTTTTCTTTCCTTCTTACTTTCTCTTCCTCCCCCTCTTCTTCTCCTCCCTACTTCCTCTTCCTTTCTCCTTCTCCTCCTCTCTTCCTCCCTCTCTTACCCTCACTCCTACTCTAATTTCCCTTCCCTTCCTTCATCCCTCTCTATTGCTGTATCCTTTTATGCATATGGACTACTCAGAGGGCTGAAAAAGTTATTTCTGACTGGTCCTCGCACTTTTGACCAGTCCTCGAACTTACGACTGTCCTCACATTTTACGTTTTTGCCTTATCTTGTCACCATGGTGAAGAGAAGCAGTTGTGAAATGAGTGACATGGTTGTTAAGAAAGCTGCACGGGCATAAATGTGAGGATGGTCATAAGTGTGAGGACCGGTCAAAAGTGCGAGGCCCAGTCAGAAATGACTTTTTTCAGCCCTCTGAGTAGTCCCTATGCACATAGCCACGCCCACCCGGTCACATGACGAGCTACCCACGCCTACACAGTCATGTGACCAGCTACCCACGCCCACCCAGTCACATGATTGCCAAGCCACACCCCCAACTAAGCCACGCCCACATAACCTGTTGTTAAAAAAATTGAATCCCACCACTGGTGAAAGGGCCTCATAAGTGGAATAGCCTAGGGCCTCTTTCAATCTAAATCCGGCCCTGTTAGAACCACATTGCTGGCTGGGGAATTCTGGGAGTTGAAGTTCCACACATCTTAAAGTTGCTGAGGTTGAGACACTCTGGTTTTTTCAGTAGCATTTCACCAGTGCAGCACAGGCCCTGCCCCTTTTGTGCATGCATTGTGAAAAGGTGGAGCTTATATCCCAACAGTGACATGCTGCTTTTGTCATTTCAATGGAAGTCTCTGATTCCACGAATGTCTTCAGTTTCACACAGCTCTGCTTAACAATATACCTGTCCCTTCTGCACCAGACATGCTCAAAACTCACCTTCTTCTCATTGATGTCCACCTGCTCGTCATCCCCACCTGCTTCTTCAGGCAAATTCTTGATTTTATTCAAAAGTTCAGCTTTGGGTACAGAGACACTGTAGTACGTTGGGCAGGCGACTGGCATCGTCATAGCAGCTTCCTTCTCATTGCTCCTAAACACAGTTCAGAACACACACACACATATATAAACAGGAATGCAGGAAAATATTTTTGCTCTTCTTGTGGCAATTAATATATGTTCCACAACTGGTACGGCTGGGCAAGGGATAAGTTTTTCTCCCTGCTCATGTACTGCTTTGAAAGTTAAACCTTAGCTCACATCAGCTGGTCAGCCTCCCAGCTAAGAACTTCAACTTTTTAGAAGTCTCAAAGGTGCTCATGGTAAGGTGGGCATTATGGCCATTTATTTGGAAGGTACCCAGATGGGGGCATGAATCAAGGGTGGGATTCAGCCGGTTTGGGCGAGCCGGATGCTAATTTTACATCTGGTTCGCTGAACCGGTAGTTGCAAGGACTGGTTGGCCCTGCCCAACCCGCCCCACCCCTCCCAGGAGTCTCCACGCGGCCCGTTTTGGATGCCAGGTAAGTGCAGGGCACGCGTGGAGGCTCTGGGAGGGTGAAAAACGGGCCTCCCGGAAGTTCTGGAAGTCTGGAATTGGGCCTGTTTCTGCCCTCTGGAGCCCAGGGGAGGCCGGTTTCGCTCTCCCGAAGGCTTGAGGAAAACCTCCGGAGCCAAGGGAGGGTGAAAACACCACCCCCCCCGTGGTGCAGAAGGCCAAGCAGGCCACGCCCACCCTGGCCACGCCCACCCAGCAACAGGGCAGAGAACCGGTTGCTAAAATGTTTGAATCCCACCCCTGGCATGAATGCTGGTTGACATCATATTAATAGTGATGTGAAGTAGTGAAGTGTTTTAACTACTTTATAATGCCTTGGTAAGGCCATATTTGGAATGTTGCACCCAGTTTGGGGTCGCCACAATATAAAAAAAGATGCTGAGACTCTAGAAAGAGTGCAGAGAAGAGCAGCAAAGACGATGAGGGGACTGGAGGCTAAAACGTATGAAGAACGGTTGCAGGAATTGGGTGTGTCTAGCTTAATGAAAAGAAGGACTAGGGGAGACATGATAGCAGCCTTCCAATATCTCAGGGGCTGCCCCAAAGAAGAGGGAGTCAAGCTATTCTCCAAAGCACCTGAGGGCAGGACAAGAAGCAATGGATGGAAACTAATCAAGGAGAGAAGCAACTTAGAACTAAGCAGAAATTTCCTGAGAGTTAGAACAATTCATCAGTGGAACAACTTGCCTCCAGAAGTTGTGGGTGCTCCAACACTGGAAGTTTTCAAGAAGAGATTGGACAATTTGTCTGAAATAGTACAGGGTCTCTTGTTTGAGTAGGGGGTTGGACTAGAAGACCTCCAAGGGTCTCTAATCTGTTATTCTATTATCATAGACATGTTCTTCAAGGACCTTGATGGTAACACCAGACCACCACTGGAGGGGGCAAGTCAACTATGCTTTTTTCTTACTTCCAAGCAGGGTGGATAAAAACTGATGATTTTTAAAAAAATAATAATAATCAGATTTTTTAAAATTTAAATCGGATTTTTTTTTACTTTTATCAAATTTATTTTAATAAAATGCTTTTGGAGTAAAAATTTATCTAAAGATAGTTTTCTATTTAAGGTACATTAATAATTATGTTAATAATATTAATATTAATATTAAATTAATATATTAATAATTATTAATAATAAATAATAATTATTATTCAGCATGAAATGGAGCTTAGTTATGTAGCATGAGGTTGTCTATTCTGCAACATTGGGACTGTCGGTGAGTCAACAGCAGGTCAGAGGAGAAGCCACTGTGGGACAGAAACGACAGTTGCTCTTTAAAAAATTGTGATTTAAATCGAGTTGATGTAAATCAAGCCTTTTTACGACTGATTTAAATCGTGATTTAAATCGACTTGATTTAAATCCAATCCAATCCACCCTGCTTCCAAGGATCTCCCCAGTCATTAACCTCTTAAAGAATTCCGTACTTCTGCAGAAACTTGATTCTCAGGTTTAATTTCAAGTGAACGGAGACCTTGCGTGGAGATATCATAAAGCATTTAATCCACCTTTCTTAGCGCAGTACTCCAAATATAAAACTTTAAGGATTCCCCAGCCCTCTTATTCAAATTGTCAGCCCAATTCATTTTTTTCCCCCTGTACACTGCAAAGGGAAATCATAGTGTTTCAGAGAAAATCCCCTGCAGTAGCTCTTGATCAGTATTTCAAGAAGCCACTGTGGGAATGGAGATTTTGCAATATCCTTCCCTCAGGAGTGGGGAGGGAATGGGGATTTTGCAGTATCCTTCCCCTGGAGTGGGGTGGGAACGGAGATTTTGCAATATCCTTCTCCTGCCATGCCCACAGAACCGGTATTAAAAAAATTTTGGATTTCACCACTGTTCGACTTACAACCATTCCTTTAGTGCAGGGGTCGGCAACCTGTGGCTCCGGAGCCACATGCGGCTCTTTGGGCCCTGTGGCTCCCTGCCAGGTGATCCCAACATTGGCTGGCCCCGCCCCTCGCCCTCCCCTCCCAGTCACTCCTCACCTGGCCTGAGACAGTAAGGGCAACAGCGGGGAATGGAGAAGCGGTCAGGGCAGAGACAGAGAGATATGGGGGTGGGGGAGAGAGAGAGACATAGAGAGATACAGAGAGAGAGGGAGAGAGGGAGGGAGGGGAGAGAGAGATATGTCAAAAGGATTGTGTGGTTCCTGGTGTTTTTTAACACCTGGTTCTCTGCCCTAATGACCGGCTGGGTAGGCATGGCTGGGGTGGTGATGGTCATGTGACTGTGAGTGACATCCAGGTTTTGAGGTCCCCACTAATCTTTAGGGTTTCCTGCCTGAGAAAGGGGGCTGGACTAGAAGACCTCCAAGGTCCCTTCCAACTCTGTAATTCTGTGATGGGGTCAAAACTTAAAAAAGAAACTTACTTGTTGCCGGCTGGAGAGAAATTACTGGCAGAATCCTTTATCCTTTTCTGCATTATTCTCTTCTTCGCACTTTCTTTAAGCACCCTGGAGCCTCTGGGGAAAATCCCCTCCATGAGGTCCATCGTGGTCTTCATCTTCGAATCGGGATCCAGGATGCTGCAGAGCGACTTGTCCTTGTGCACGATTTCCTTAGCCAAGGACTCTTCCTTCAGATCCTCCCGCGTTTTCTCTTTCCTTTTACTCTTCTTGAGACGGAACTCCTTCTTCTCGGATGCCTCGCTTGCCGTTGTGGCTTCTTGAGAAGGTTCCTTCTCAACCGTTCCTTCGATGGCAGCATGGCGCTCTTGAGCTTCCGGAGAAGGAGGGACTCCGGTTGCTTTGGGTTCTGAAGATCCAACGGATGGAGAAATGTTGGTCCTGAGGAAGTCTGGTCCTGGTTTGTCTCTCATGGAGAAGTCCCTGGAGAAAGCTTTGAGGTTCCTGTTCATACGGGGCAGGAAAAACAACACAACCTAATGACTGTATTACTGTCTTATGTCTAAGGATATTTACTCATATGGTATGGCTGTATTAAGATAAGAGATAACTTTTATTGTCATTTTTGTGTGAGTGTGTGTGAGCACACTGGCCCACGTTAAAAATGAAGTTCTGTTGCCGGCTCTCAAAAGAAGGTATCTATCTACCCAATATTATTATTATTATTATCCTTCTCAACTTTTCTACTATCTTCTTCTGTTGGTATCATATTTATTTATTTATTAGTCCAATTTATATGCCGCCCTTCTCTGTAGACTCAGGGCGGCTTACAATGCATTATAGCAATAGCCTGCATACTTTTTTGTATATACCTGCTTATTAGGGCTTTCAGCCCCCCCAAGCGGTGTTGTTCTATACAAAATTGGCTTATTGCCCCCACAATCCGGGTCCTCAATTTACCTACCTCGAAAGGATGGAAGGCTGAGTCAACCTTGAGCCTGGTGATATGACTGTATTACCTTGTTATTTGTATGTATACTTCTTGTTTGTATGTAGATGTTGTTTGTGTATGTAAACTGATTATATTACTTTGTTGTTTGTAGGTATACTGAGAGTTTATGCACAGGAGACAAATTCTTTGTGTGTCCAATCACACTTGGCCAATAAAGAATTCTATTCTATTCTATTCTATTCTATTCTATTCTATTCTATTCTATTCTATTCTATTCTATTCTATTCTATTCTATTCTATTCTATTCTATTCTATTCTAATTCTATTCCATTCCCTATTAGTTTCTATTTTATTTCCTATTATTATTTTACAGACCCCTCGCATCCTGGACATAAACTGTTTCAACTCCTACCCTCAAAACAATACTATAGGGCATTGCACACCAGAACAACTAGACACAAGAACAGTTTTTTCCCGAACGCCATCACTCTACTAAACAAATAATTCAACACTGTCAAACTATTCACTAAGGCCCCATTACTATTACTATCGGTCCTCTCACCGTTCCTATCACCCATCTCCTCCCACTTATGACTGTATGACTGTAAACTTGTTGCTTGTATTCTTACGATTTATATTGACTGTTTCCTAATATGATTTGATTGCTTATTTGTACCCTATGACTATTATTAAGTGTTGTACCTTATGATTCTTGATGAATGTATCTTTTCTTTTAAGTACACTGAGAGCATATGCACCAAGACAAATTCCTTGTGTGTCCAATCACACTTGGCCAATAAAGAATTCTATTCTGTTCTGTTCTGTTCTGTTCTGTTCTGTTCTGTTCTATTCTACTCCCTATTATATTTTCTATTCTATTTCCTATTCTATTCTATTCTATTCTACTCTATTCTATTCTATTCTTATTCTACTCTACTCCCATTTCTATTCTATTCTATTCTATTCTATTCTACTCCCTATTATTTTCTATTCTATTTCCTATTATTTCTTATTCTATTCTATTCTATTCTATTCTATTCTATTCTATTCTATTTCT